ATCATGACTAAGGCCGAGAGGCTGGATGGTCGCATGTAACGACCACCCCTTTGAGGGTGGACATGTGCTCGAAGACAAAAATCCATCATGACTAAGGCCGAGAGGCTGGATGGTCGCATGTAACGACCACCCCTTTGAGGGTGGACATGTGTTCGAAGAAGAAAAAATCCATCATGACTAAGGCCGAGAGGCTGGATGGTTGCATGTAACGACCACCCCTTTGAGGGTGGACATGTGCTCGAAGACAAAAACTCCATCATAATTAAGGCCGAGAGGCTGGATGGTAGGACTTAATGATCACCACTCTGAAGGTGGACATTTGCCATGAGGCATTTAAAGTATTTGGGATTCATTTAATTTATCTGGATTAGCTAAATGAATGAATGGCGTGACTTTACAAAATGGTAGAAACGATATCGACGCACAGAGATAACTCAGGAGGAATAAGGAAAACACCATACACAACGATACATTGACAGGAGAACAACGTAAAATAACGAGAATTCGAAAACTTCAACATGAATGATATTCATTAAACGTAAAAAGAGTACAATGTTCTGCTGAAATTAAATTACAATTCTATGAGGCAGCATTTGGATCAGCATTAAAATCGGGGTCATTGGAGGATTGCTCTGGTGGCGGCTCGAGTTGCTGCCTCACAGGCTCAGTCGGCTGGCTCGAACCAGAGGTTGACCCAGCTCCATCGGTGGCCTGAAATTGTCGAGCCGGGGGAGGAATGTACCCGTCAGGGAGTTTGAAAGTGCGCTTCAACAGGTCGTCCTGATCCACGACGAGCTCGAGCAGGCTTGACCACCAATCGTGGTCGTCGGGCAGGTCGAGGGCACTTTGATAGCCGATGGGAGCCTTGGGCATAGCATCCCAGATGGCCTCCATGTTGAACTCCTCGAACCCGTCCTCAGCTACCTGGGCCCCGGCTTGCTGCATGATGGCCCCAAAGCAATGGGTGCCGTAATCTTGCACATCCTTTAAGTATTGGGGTGACTGCTTGAAAGCAGCCACCACTTGCTCGCGGTAAGCTTGTAGGAAGTGCCGACCGGCGGTCGTATGGAAGACCATTCGCCGAGCCTGAAGGGCAGCCTCATCGACTAAGGGCTTAGCTCTCTGCTCGAAGGCGACGTTTTCGCGGGCCCGAGCTAACTTTTCCTCCTCGAGCGCAGCTTCGAGAGCCTTTTTGGAGGCCAGGAGGGCCTCTTTCTCCGCTCGCTCAGTTGCGAGGGCCTCCTCGAAGGACTTTACGGCCCCCTCGAGCGTCTCATTCTCGGCGGAGAGAGCCTTATTCCGAGCAGCCGACTCCTTCAGCCTCTCGTAAAGGGCATTGGCCTTGACGACTATCTCGTCCAGCCGAGTGCCGAGCTGGAGATTACTTCGCTCGAGAGCGGGGATGGACCGACCCGGGCTGGCTAATGTTTGCTCGATCAGCGGTGCGAGCTTGAACATGCCCTATAAGGGCACATAAAAGAGAATATCAGAGCACTGACAAGGGAAAGAAATGAAATAAAACGAATAAACCTAAAATTATAGTAGATTACCTGGCCAGCCATCGGGCAATTCAATCACCCCGGTCTCGAAGGGTGTGACCGTCATTGTAACGATCGGTAGGGTGGTCGACGGAGGGAAGAACATCCCTGAGGTGATCGAGAGGGAGGTCTCCCCGACACGACGCCGTTTGCCGACATTTTCGGCCCCCTCAGCAGAGGGGTGCTTAAGTGGATTCTCCACAGGCCGAGTCTGCTGCGGAGAAGCGGGAATGTGTATAACCGTGGTGGCTTGGTCGTGCGAAGGAGAGTGCGGCGGAGGAGACGATGGCGGTGGAGAGGACGGCTTCTCGAGCTGTTCTGACTGCTCGATGGGCTGCTCGGTTGGAGATTTGAGCGAAGAGGGTTTCTCGACAGTTGTGTCCTGAGGAGGGGAGGTCGAGCGTATGGATTGGGAGGTGGTCGAGTCAGCGGGCTTGGAGCCTGACCCCTCAGCGACCTGTTTCTTTCTCAAAGGAGCCTTCCTCCTGGGCACAGAGATAGCAGGCATCTCTGCAAAAAATTTACGCATAAGTTAAAACCATAATAGATTAATAATATGTGGAACAAACGCAATGATGTAAAGCAAACATGATAATGCTCGAGCTAGTCCGATGACAACGCATACCTGGGTCACCCTCTATTCGGATTAGATCGAGGGTTTTCTGACTGGGGAGAGGACAAGATTTATGGGTAAGTAGTTCACAGAAATGCAAGAGGTCCTCATCCTCGAGCAAAGTCTTCGACGCGACGGGTTTGCTGTTCCATACTGCAATCCGTTGGTCAAAGAGGGCGTTGGTTGAAGGTATGGAATACTCGCGCGGTAGTTCTTTAAGCCAGGGAGATGACGCCCAGGGGAAGGCAGGTTTAGGCTCGACAAAAGCGAACTTGTCTTTCCACCTGGGGACGTTTGAGGGAGTGTCCGAAATGAAATGGACATCGTTGCGGCTCTTGAGGTAGATCCCCTGAGCATGTTTGGAGGGTGTATAGCAGTAATGAAAGAAATCTAGGTCGAGCCGGCCTAGACGGATATGGCAGAGGATGATGAAGACGGTGATAAATCGGATGGCGTTAGGAGGAAGTTGGTTTAAGGGCAGGTCGAACCACTTACAAAGATCGACCAAATCTTGGCTTAAGGGAAAACGGATGCCAAGTTTAAATTGAATCTCAAAGAAAGTGTAGCAGTTTTGGGGAGGGTTGTCATAGGTGTCTCGAGGGCCTGGAGATACGAAAGCCCAGCTGGTAGGATAGCCAATCTCTTCGGCATCCAACCAGCCAGCTATGAGAGAACGAGAGGAAGAAGAAGCCTTCTTGGAAGAAGTAGACACCTTGGTCGACTTACCCTTCTTAGGGGCAGCCTTAGGAGAGGTAGAGACAGGGATAGAAGAAGAGGCAAGAGGTGTGGCATCGGTTGAGGATTTCGGGGCGCCCCTCTTAAGGTTAGGGGAAGAGGTAGCCCGAGAAAAAACAGAATGGCGAGAAAGGGGAATATTATCTTCGTCTTTCTCAGCAGTGGCTTCAGCGGCATCAAGAGCCTCTTCAACGACATCAGAGGCTCCAAACGCCGGTCGACGGCGATTGAGGGGGATATGGTCAAGGGCATCCTCGTCCGATTCATCAAATCAGACGAGTAGGTTGGCGAGGAGGAGAAGGTGTGGCGTAATCGGAAGGGCGTAGAACACTGATAGGAGCGGGATTGTAGATTTCTTGGACGGAACGGGAAGGCGAGTGAGGAATAGGCCGACGAGTAGAGGGAAATGATGTGGCGACCTCGTCTTCGACAGAATGGTGGCTTGTTGAGTTAGAGTCAGCGGAATCTGAAAAGTAGAACGAAGAGGTGAGGGGAGAGAAATAGAGTTAGGTTTTTCGAAAGCGAAGAAGGAGTTTCTTTTTTTGCCATAGACGAGATGAGAGGGATTTGGGAAAAAGAAGAAGTAGCAGGGAAAATTTAAAATCGACAAAATAAATGCACGCAAATATAAATTGAAGCACAGAAGACTTACTCATGGTTGCAGTGGAGAGTGATCGCCGAGAAAAGCCTGAAACTGAAGGAGCGAAAGCGCCGAAGAGCAGAGGAGGGCAGTTTGCAGAGGAAGAAATTAGGGCACAAGTATGTAGAAGATTGCAAAGGTGAGAAAAGCTGAAAAATTGGCTAAGTACCGTATTTATAGGGGTACAGGTGAATAAGATGAAGAGTTAGGGGAGATGACCGTTAGATAAAAGAAGATCCAACGGTAGAAAAAATTACAAACATACAGATAGCGAGGCGGCACAAATCGCGAGGAGGCGCGATGATTAAAGGAACTGAGCCGAAAGGACATATGGCAGGCGGAGATTATGCTGGTAATAAAAGAAAATAAACAACGGTTATAGTGTGCATTAAAATGGACCACGTGGTCGAGGAAAGGCAGCAACAACAACAAAAGTGATCTAGAGAAGAGGCCAGGTGCGAGCGGGAGATCGAGCGGATTGACAGAATGGAGAGGACAGCTCGAATCCACTCTTAGATCGAGTCATTCAGACTCGACCAGAGTGGGGGGGACTAGATGATATGGGATATTATATAGCTGAGGAATAGACCAGTTTGCATCATCGATCGAGCAACCTCGAAGTGAAGAAAACCAGATTGGGGGAAGGATGATCGACCAAAAGGGAGGAGATCGAGCAGAATAGCGGTACCGGTCGAGGATCGATCAAAAGGGAGGAGATCGAGCAGAGTAGCAGAATTGGTCGAGGATCGACCAGAGGGGAGGAGATCGAGCAGAATAACAGAACTGATCGAGGATCGACCAAAAGGGAGGAGATCGAGCACTCAACAGGTGAAGAGCAGTCTAGAGCGTGGCTTGAACGCGAGAAAGCGCGTGGATGACGTTAGAAGATCCCAACGGTCTGCGCAGAAGAATAATCTCCCTCAGCTCAGAGGGACACGTGGCGAGAATATATTGGTGCAGAGTGATAGTGGCGAAAACCACCCCTGACATCTCTGACACACACACACTATGTGTGTACGGGCGGGCAGTACGGGCAGGACAACTCACCAAAAGCCGGGCAGGTATCTCACTCCTATATATATGGGAGTGGCTCTTTTCTTGTAACCTACGATTAATCCATTCTTTACTTTGGAAATTTGAACAAACACATACTGACTTAAGCATCGGAGGCTCTTCACCGGAAAACCCCTCCGGTGTGAGAGTTCTGTGCAGGAACGCGGCGTTCTACCGGCGAGGAAGAAGGAGGCAAGCTGATTTCAAGCCGGTCGGAGTGTTTTGCGTTACCAATAATGTTGTCTGGTTAACATTACTGAATGGCCGTAGATGCATGTAAGCAAGGTAGGAGATCTGTTTCAAACACACGACACTCACATGTTCTTTCCCCTAAATCTACCACGTAGGACCGTGTTTCTTCCATAACCTTATAAAGTTGCATGTCGAGTGTGGTAATGGACAGAGTACGACCTTTCTCAAACTAAGGATCCAACCACAATTGAGTCCACTGCGTTAGCGGATGATTGCTACCCTCGGCGGATGCACGCCGAACAGCAAACAATTTCTCTATCGTTGTCCGAACACACTCCAACAACGAGCAAACGGGTAACATCCTGGCCCATAGGAGTTTGTTGTTCAAACTTTCGCAGAAATTGGATGTCATGAATCCATAGCGCCGTACAGGTGAAAAACACCTCGCCCAAGCATTTACCGGAATTTCATTAGTTAGCTTTCTAAATGCTTCGAATTTTTGGTTTCGGATGGCTGACAAGTAACGGAAGAAGTCTTCACACCGATAACAATATGCCGCCTTGTAAAATATGTTCAATACCTGCTTCCCAAAGGACCTCATTTGTTTTGTGATGTGATAATAGAAAAATGAATGATGCGCCTCGGGGAACATTATTGGGACAGAATGTACGATAGACTCATGTCTATCCGATACAATGAGGAGGTTCTTAGGACAACCATAGACCTTTTTCAAATGAGTCAAAAACCAACTCTAAGTCAGTCTCACGACACTCTAGATCACCAATGCCCATTGCGAGGGGAAAGATTTGGTGATTCCTGTCCAATGTGGCTGCAACAAACATAATGCCCTTGTATTTTCCCTTCAAGTGCGTACCATCTATCACAATCACCGGGACACCAGCTCGTTGAAAGCCCTCAATGCTAGTGCCTAGAGCAAAGAACAAGTGGTTGAATACCTCGCCATCCTGTTGCAGTTCGACAATTGTACCTGGATTACGAACCCGCAACATGTGCAAGTAACTAGGAAGTCGCCCCCATGATTCTTCATGACCCCCATAAACTTTTTCAAAAGCACGGTGTCTTGCTCGGAGGGACACATTGTAGCTGATCGACAAACCATGCTCCTCCCGCATTTGCTCAATAAATTCTCCGTGTAGATACCGTCTGGGGATTTGTCTGAATAGTTTGTGCGAACACATGAGCGAGAACCTTGGAACTAGCCGAACGCTGTCGATTGTGCGTCAAACTCCTTTCGCATGTATGCTCGAGTTTCAAAGTAGTGATTCTGCATACATTTCCATTTGCCCTTGCACATAACTTGTAAGACCCTTCATACCGACAGATAGAGGTTAGCCTAGAAGTGCAGGATTTGGGTGTTCGACACTCAACTTTTTGTTGCAAGTGATAAAGTTGGATGACACAAATCAACTCATCTTTCGAAAGAAAGACAGACCCCAAAGATAATTCTAAATTGTTCGAGGGTAAGTGGTTGGGTTGTCTATCTGATCCAGTTATCATGGGCGGCATAGGAACGGACCACATTCGTTGATCAACGTCTGATTGCCGTGTGCTACCTGGATTCATATATGCAAGACTTTCAGCCTCAATATGGTCGGTAATTAATCTTACCTCTTCAATATGCTCGCAATACCACGCCCTAAAAAGCTTGAACATTTTCTTGTCATTGACCTCTTTGTCTTCGTCGCTTGAATCATCATTGTGCGTGTTGGTTTGGTCATCATTATTGTCATCGTCACGAGAATGACCTGGTTGGTTCGAACAACCCGCCGTTTGATCATCAGCGCCCCGAGGATATCCAATATGTGTAAATGAACTAGGGCCTGCTTGATATGAATATGGGGCCTCGTGAGAAAATGCAGAACTACCAACACCAAAAGAACTAGAAATTCCTACATTTACTCGCTTCTCCAACTCCAGATAAATGTTGGGATTTCCTTGTTCTTCAATCAGCTCTAAGATATCTTCACTGGATTCAATTTTCATCTTCACAGGTCGTTCCCTTCCATCAAATACGGCCCACAATATGTACTCAAAATGGAGAGGATTGGCCTTTAATAATGCTTGAGCACGAGAAACTACTTCAGAATACATTTGTCGGCCGTAATTTATTCTCATCAGCTCTGCCACTGCACCAAGATATGAACCTCCAGAAAACGAACCACCATAATGCAGGAATAATTTAATACGGTTGCTAGCCATTCAAATAAGTGAATAACAAAAAGAATTAAAACGAAAGAAACAGAAAAATGCAGTAGAGGAATGGTGCAGAGTGCAGACGTTAAATTGTTAGAGATCACTGTTTTTTTGCCTGCATGATAAATGCAGAGACAAAATCCTCACCTGTGAAAAAGCAGTCAATTTAATGAGGTGCGTAACTTATGCGATAGATATGCGAACAAATTCCGAATAGTTGTAAAATTGCAAGGTCGATATGGCCCTGCGAAAAAATGGCGCATAATCGTCAAATAAATTACTATGCTTTATTCGATTTGGTTATGCGATTCCTATATATGAGAGCAAAAAAATGTCGCATAATTGTCAATTATCCGGCGTTATACTGGATATATGCGAAATATTTTTGAATATTAGTATATTATGCGATTGACTTGGATATGCAATTACTAAAAAATGTGAAGTCAACAAATTATGCGAATTATATGCGAAAAAGTTTCGCATAGTCATAAATTTGCAAGGTCGTATAGCCCTGCGAAAAGAAGGAAGGCGCATAATCATCGTAAATTATGCTGCATTCGATTTGGATATGCGATTCTTAAAATACGATATATTTTCGCATATTTGTAATTATGCATTTGATTTGGATATGCGATCCCTAAACATGCGAAATGGTTTCGCATAATCATAAATTATGCGTCTGGTTGGATATGCGCTGGTTCATTTAGACATGTGAGTGTAATATCGCATAGCATTTCGTGACTTTTGGGGTGTAAAAGAAGTTATTTGACGGGCCGGTGAGTAAAAGAAAGAATAGAAATATAACGGGGTGAAAAAGATTTTGAATATATATGTGTGTGTGTATGTATATCTTATTCTCTTATCTATAAAAAGGTAGCCATGTCTCCAATTTTTGACAAGTGTCCCTCCTCTCTCAATGAAGCCACGTCGCCCTCATTCATACGACGTCGTTTTGTGTCTATTATCGTCTAAACGTACGCGTTCACTTCCTCCACTGACAATCTTTCGCACCCAATTTTTCTAGCCTTCAAATCGGAATCTGCCATTCTTCCTACGCAAAAGTCTTCATTTTTTTTTTCGTTACGCCCGATTTTGAAGCCTTCATATCTTAATCTCCCGTCCTTATTTCCTCTGCAAATCTTTTCGATTTTTTTTTCCTTTTGGGTCTCATTTTTCTGTCGTCGTGTGGTTCGAGTTTAACAACAACATCAAGAGCAACGACAGATCCGACGATGCCGAGGAGTTCGGGTTCTTGTCAGACTCGGTGGGATTAACAAGGTTGGATGTGCAAGAATTTTTAGTGTTTATTTTATTTGAATTTATTTTCGATAGGTTTTAGAAGTTTGTGTGATCGGTTTGAAATTTAATTTTTATTTTCTAAGGCAACTTTTTTCTTCTGTTTGTCTGCTTGCTTTCGTCTGAATTGGGTTTTAGGAAGTAATCGGTGGGTTAGGGTTTTAGTTTTTCGCTTTCTGACTTTGATTTAGGTTCGGTGTTGAATTTGTGTAGGTTTAGTGTTGGGGTTTATCTGCGAGGTGTTGATTGGTTATAGAGGATTATGGTTGGATCGGATAGTTTGAGTTCGTCTCCTTCCCCGTCTCATTCTATGACCGAGAAAAAACAGTCGTCCTAGCAGTGGTGCTTCTCAAGGTCTCTGTCGCATGCAGGACCCCTTGATAAAAATATCAAAGATATGGGCAGTTGGAGAAGGTTCGTTCCATGTTGTTGATTGGTTACCAAAAGTTATTTTATTGTGAGGTGTGCTTGCAAATTATGTATTGGGAATTTTTATGTAGTAGAACTTGCTTTTGTTGCGATTTAGTTTTTCGTGGAGTCGGGACTTCATGAGAGCGCGGAAGAAGCTGCCTAGGGGAGGAGGTTCTGGACAAACAAAGGAAAGTATGTGTGCACTAATTGTTGTTTCATTTTGATGCCCAATGGAATGGTATGTGTATTTGGTTGATTTTTTAAAATGAAAGTGGTTCAAGGAAATCGAAGTATGAACATATAGGAAGGACTTTACCCATTTGGGTTGTTGAACGTTTTGTTTAGTGTGTGAAAGGTTTCAATATTGACAAATTTTTTTTGTATTTGGTAGATTTTTGAATAGGAAGAATGTATCTTAAATTGATATGGCTGATCATAATAAAGTGATTAAAAGCTTAGTGTGTAAAGCCTATCAATGCTTAAAGTGATTAAAACTGACAAAGCATCCTTTGAGTTATGATCGTTGTGGTTGTGATGCAGGTACTTTCAAGTTTCAACACGATTGGATCCCATTCCGTAAAATAATTTCGATCTCGCAAAAGATTTTGGAATGGTTTCTCCTCTTCATCTCTACTTCAAATGTTTGAAAAAACTTCTCCCGATTCACATTGTTGTTAGTTTAGAAAATTGCCCAAAAAAATCCAAGGCATCTTTGTTCACATTCTCTTGGAGTTGGGTAAGATTGGTCCTGTAAGACTTTCTTTATACTATATTTTTTTAAATAACTATCAACAGAGATGCTTAACTATTTTGTGGATTTTTATATCCTTTTGTCAATAAATCTGTTTTTGGATTATTATTTTTTTTGAAGGATTTGTGTCAGGAGCCTGTTGATATGTCTCCTCCCGTCTACAGTACCTCCACCACCACCACCATTAGTCTACAAAATCAAAGAAAGGTAATTTTCATCAAATTCAGTGGTGTCATCATTTTCCATTCTCTAGGTCCAAACGGTTGACTAATATTCTATCAACTTAAATTTTTTGGAGAAATAGTAGTAAGAGCATTCTTATAGTCCCTTCAAGAGCCAAACCTGTAAACCTATGAATATATAATTATATATTTGAATTTCTAAAACTACACAAGGATATTTTGCTTGACAAATGATTGCCAATCATCCTTCAGGATCTACTGTATATTTATGAAGGTGAAGGGTGTTTGTAATAGTTGGCAGATATTTATACTTTTTAAAGAATAATTAGAATTTATATTAAGCAAATAAATGTTTAAATTTTTACATGGATCTTCTTCCTCAACAGGAACAAGCTTTGAAAATGAAGTATGAAAAATATATTTGTTTTAGAAAAATATATTTGTTTTAGAAAATTTGAAATACAAGTAATATTATATATTTATTATTTTTAGGTGACATTTTCTAATACATGACAAAGGGAGAGCAAAATAAAGAAAGCATGAGGCGAGCACGGATACAAGAATAGAACCTCCAACGGTGTTGCAAAAATCATAAACATGTGCAAATATTTTTTAACCTAACATGTGAGCCGCCAGCTCATGTCGTTGGGGAAGAAGCGGGGTAGAGGAATTGCTCATGTAAGTCACTGCTCATACAATTACTGCACCCACAAATTCTAAAAATAGTTGAAAAAAAGACATTGTGCTTTATTACATTTAAGTTACTTCATAGATACTCATTTCATCAAGTTTATTTCGATCCCAAAAGATAAAGTGAATAAATACCAAATCAAGCAGTTATTTTAAATTTTGGAAGGATGAAAACTCCGGTGCAAGTGTTAGCGGACATCATATTCGTGTCGTTCTAGATTATTTATCTTCTTTGATATTGATTATTAATTATGTTGGTGGTCATATCTATTGGGTTTTAAACTTTTACTTCATTATTTATTGTGTTGTCTATTACATCTCTTAGTTGATCATTTTGTTGATTACTTTTGAAGAAAGAAAATGGAAGAATGAAGTCAAAGGCCAGAACTTTTTTTACAATTATGAATTATGAAATTTTGATGTCCCTTTTTTTATATTTCTTTTGAACAAATTTTTATATTTCTTTTGAATTACATAGTCTTACAAATAATAGGATCATGATCATTAGAAATATCTTTTGTTCTCATTTTTTGTATTTACATCAATTTTTATTTCATTATGATTAGTTGTTTGGTTAAGGTTAACCATTCTGAGTATTATATTGAGTTTGCATTGAAGGTTCAGTGACTATTATATTTGAATCGATTCCTACCGGTGATGAAGGTCAATTCCATCTAATTTTTCTTCTCCCTTCCCGTAGTGGGGCGGATTTTCGATAGTTGGAAAGCCGTGTTTACCAGCTCATATGTGCTTGGATTAATAGAGGCATTTTATATGTTTTGAGCATATTTTACACATTCAAATTTTCAACAAGTGTACGTTATTGAACACATGATTATGATTAAGATCCTAAATGATAGGTTGGAATGGAATTGACAAAATTAGGAATCTAATATGTATCGTGCTCTTAACTTTTTATGTAATTTTACTGACAAAAAAATCTTAATGTTGGTAGAGATGAAACAAAAATAGGTACCGGATACAAAATTGAAATCTTTACGAGTTATTAGCCTATTCTCGACCCTTTGTTGATTCCTTTGATTTAGGGGTTTCATGTATTTAGGGTTCTAGACATCAATTGATGTGGTATTTTTATTTACGGTATTTTTTATTTATGGTTTTAATGTTTTACTTTCTTTATTTCAATTGATTAAATAACGTAAGTCGGCCGTGCTGTGCACGGCACGAGCCTCCTAGTATATATATATATATATATATATATATATATATATATATATAGGGTCACGCTCCGGTGAGAATGGTGCTCAATGAAAGAAATGAGAATAAATCGTAAATCATCTGATCTAATGGCTTAAAAAAAGTCAAAATTATACACTCATTAAGGGCAATGTAGTAATTTAGCACACCACACCTCCACTCCACATTAAATAACCTGCCAACCACTCTCACACACACCAACACACACCACACACAGTAATATGCACGCACACCCACACACACAGTCAGCCACCACCTTCACCACCAGCGCCGTCGCCCCGCCACCATCTCCGCCCACCGGAATCCCCACAGCGCCGCACTCACCGCCGCCATCTACACACACAGACACACTAACACACACACTCACAAATACGATGCCATACAACACCGCCGGTCATCAGCGCCACCCGCCAATTGCCGCCACTAGCCGACGTTCGCTGCCGCTGGAAGCCGCCGAAATCTGCCACTATAGGATCCGAACGAACATGGCTTCACAAGATCTAAGCAGATCGGTCGGCTCCTCAGCGCCATCCACCAGGGCCGCCCACGACCGCCATCTATCCCGCCGCTCGACGCCGCTCGCAGCCGCCGGAATCCGCCATTAATCCTTCGACCGGACATGGCTTCACTAAATACGAGCATATCAACCGGCTCTTCAGCGCCATCAACCAGCGCTGCCAACAACCGCCGTCAATCTGCCGATCGCTGCCACCTCGTCATGCCGCCGGGCAAGATGGCCGTTGTGCAATGTCCAATGACGGGATGAAAAATGAATTTGGATTGTGGGGTCTTTTCTTTAAGAATTTGACAATTTCAAAGGATCCAATTGCAATTTCAATATTTTTATTAAAGTTCAATTTAGTCCTTGGGTCTAATGTGAAATTTATGAAAACATATATAAACAATATGTTCTTTGAAGGATCTAATTGGCAGGGGTTTTTTTAACATCTTTTTATGCAAATATATATATTGTTCATTTTCAACAAAAAATACATATAAAAATATTAAATAAAAATATTAAAATATTAGATATATTTTATAATATAAATAATAAATTAATTAAATTATTTAGGTTAATTTCATTTATGTTCTCAACCAAAAATATTATAAAGTGGTAAATAAAAAATGTAGTGCACTTACTAAAAAAATGGTGCACTGTATAAGACAACATGTTGCACTTTATATCACGACACATTGCACTTTATAAAACGACACGTTGCATTTTATAAAACAACAAGCTACATTTTTATCACCAAACCCCACAATTAACGTTAATAATCCCGCCAAAATAACATACAACATAAATTTAAAAAATGTATCTACTTCATATTTTAACATACATCACATCATTTGTCCACATAAAACACAAGCACGCGAATATACCAAAATTATAGTAGTGTACTTTATACATCAACATGTTGCATTTTATAAAACAATACGTTGCACTTTATCAAATAGCATGAAAACATGAATTTTGAATTTGTTTAGAGTATTTCCAAACAAAAATAATATAAAATGTTAAATAAACACATTAACATATATAATATATTTTTTTCAATCAAAAAATATCAAATATATTTTTATATATAAATAAAAAATTATTTTAATTATTTCAATAATAAATTCAAATTAGGGATTTAGGGTTTCATTGACTTTTTATAACTACTAAATATAGTTTTCAAAGACATATACTTGATATGTGATCATACAAAAGAGTGCACTTTATAAAGCAACACGTTGCATTTTATAAAACAACACGTTGCACTTTATCAACACGCTCCACAATTAATGTCAACATCTCCCTTCGAAATACCACACAACATAAATCTAAGAAACAGATATACATCATACTTTAACATCACTACGTCATTTATACACAGAAACACAAGTATGCTAACGTACCAAAATTACAGTTGTACACTCTATACATCAACACGTTGCACTTTATAAAACAACACGTTGCACTTTAGAAACAACACGTTGCACTTTATAACGACTATCAGATTGCACAATAAAGAGCGAAACCAACTGAAATAATAAAAAAAAAAAAAATCAGCCAAAAATAATATGAAAATAATAAATAAAATTATTAACATAAATATAATTTTAATATAATAGTATAATTCCATTAACCGAACCGAATAAACAAAATAATTATGTTCATTTTCAATTTAATTTGGGACAAGAGATCGGTTGGTTCAATCTGCACAATACAGACCAACACCATGCACCATAGTGATGTACGAAATGCACCTTAATAATTATTAGATTGCACCGTACATTTCGTTTACATGTATACAATTTTTTTAATTAAAAGATAATAAAAAATAATATTACATACTAATCATGTTTTTTTACAATAAATAATATAATTTATATCGGTTATTTTGATTATTTATGTTAACTGAAAAATTAAACCGATTATGTCGAAACCAAAATTTTCATTTCGAATTTTAAAATTTCGTTCAATTATCATTTTTTACATTAAAAAACTCAATTATGTTTGTTAGTTTTCGACGTTTTCTTTGATTTTATTTAGATAACAACAAAACTCTATTATTATTTAATTATTATTATTTTGTAAAAATATTAGTATTTTTAGCTTTTAATTTTTAATAAATTTTAAAGGTGTAATAAACAAAATATTGTGTAGTGGGCTAAGTAATTGGGGAAATTTCATCTATACTGTACGATATTAAAATATTTGTAAATATGTCATAGTCAATTTTTTTATTGCATCCCTACCACATGGCAATTAATTGAAAATATCCTAAGATTTCAGTTACCAAAAACTGAAATACAGCATCCTTGATTTGTGGAGGATGTATTAAATTACCGATTTCCATTTTAAAAAAAAAAAAAACTAAAAATACACATGTTAAGTCAATATATGCTACTAATTAGGAGTTTGTTGAGAAGAAATAAGAAAGATAACGAGAATGAATTTCAAACGACTATAACTATTTACAAATCCCATAATCCTAAATACATATTTTGCTAAATCAGGTATTTTTGTGCAGGTCGAACTATTTTTCGTTTATTTTTAAACTTCGCATCGTGTTAATACCGTATATTAAACATATATGTTATGTTTCACTCTCTCTCTCTTTTTTTTATTGTTATTTACATCTCGTGTTTTTTCTGTATACATAATATATACAGAATATATATAGAAAATATACAGAAAACATATAAGTCCGAAAAATATACGAAATAACCTGGTAATTTATCTTTTCGTAATTCTTTTATGTTTCACGATTAGACTTATATACATAAGATATACTCATTATATACTCAACATATACATATGATATATTCATTGATTATAAGCGAAACATATACTAAATAACAGTATATTTGTCGGGAATATATATAGAAGATATACTAATTGTATACATAGGACATAAAAGAAAATACACAACAAATATATAGAAGATAAATCAATATTGTCATTATATACAGAAAATATACAAAAAACGCATTAGGGGCTACGTCTAATTTTGAATCAAATCTCGTTCTCATCGATGCCCATATACATACATATACATATACATACAATTAATCCTTCCTGGCTTCATGTCCATTTTCCTCATTCTCATCTTCTCTTAAGTTCTGTCAACTCAAATAGCTTATATGAGGAAAAGAAATTGTTAAATAAACCTGTAATATTAAACTAAATTTTATACATTAGCCCAGAAATTAATTCATTGATAAATAAATAAATAACAATTATAAATAAACTAAAATTAAAGGTCTTAAAGAGTGCTTTAAATTCTTTCTCAGCCCATCATGTTATCGAAGAGCCCCACCAAATCCTGCCTGTACGGCAGGTATGAACGCCGCAGTACCTGCCGCTTCTCGCCGCCATCCCGATTGCACCACGCGGCTGTGGCGCCGGAATCACACAGCCACCCGCCGGCGTTTCTGTAATTGCCTTCGTTTCGTCAGTCAGAAGGACGATACGGCTCTTGCTCCCCTTGCTATGGCTCCTCCGCACGAGATCCTTCACCTTGAACCTCCACTGCTTCGAATTCCCGCCGGCGGAGACGCTTTTCTTACCCGTGCTCCACCGCCGCCTCCGGCTGCCACGAGCAGTAAAAAAAAAAAAAAAAAAAAAAACTTCCATGAACAATAACATGGACACCATATGAGGAGAACTTGATCTCCGATTTTAAGGTTAAAAAGGTGGGAAAGAAATCTCTTACCATATTATTCGGGGGTGATTTTTTTGGTAACTTATAGCTTTCTTTAATTAATGAATAAATTATTGTGGATAAGTTTTGTGGTATATCTGCAAATAAAACCTTAATTTATGATTATATTGCTATTATTTACATAAGATGTTTAATTATGCAATATAAATTGAAATGTAACGTGGAGGGGGTAATTTTCTCTAAGTAATTTTCTAAAATATTCTTGGGCTCATATAAAACTCACATACATGAGTCCATTTGATTTTGGGCTTTGAGATGTACTAAAAATCATGAAGTCAACATGGGCCACACTATGAGTATGACTTTTTGGATTAGTCTCATCTAAAAAAACCAAAATTGCATAAAGGTCCTTGTGAGTTATCTAAATTTCAAAAGTAAGTCCCTAGCCTTAAAATCAAAGAAAATTCTGTCGGCTCGTCAATAGCCGTCCATCACTATCAATAGCCTTTCAGCAGCACCCGATCTCGTCTGTCGGCCCTCGCCGTGAAGAAATTCTGGAAATCGACCAACGGCTCTCCTCCGCTTGGTTCTCCAACGAGAATGGCGAGCTCGATTCCTGTTTATTCTCGGCGATGGTGTTGGGATCTGTGAGGATCTTATTATGTACAAGTCACGAATTCAATAGCAAACGTAAACCTATGCGCAGCGGATCTAAATGTTTGACGTAGAGAACTTACGGCTTAAAATTTATGTAGATCTGGTTGACCACGAACGGTTGACCGCAATTGATTGACCGCAAATCACGTCTTGGGTTCCACGAACAAGATTAGATCAAAATCGGATCAAACGGATGCAAACAGATCAAAATGAAACTTTGCAGCCTGGGAGCTTCCGGAGGCGCGTGAGGCGTCGGACGGCTGCGATCTCGGAGGCGATAGAAAGCTCTCGTCAGACGGTCGTCTGGGTATTCTGTACGTCTCAATCGGACTTCCGGTTAGTTCTGTAGGTCAAAATATATTTCATCTCGATTTACCTACAGATCTTCTACTGTATTACTCAATACACCCTTCTTCTACTTGTACCAGTGGAGCAACAAGAAGAAGATAAAGCTCGAATGAGATCTAGAGAGAGAGAGAGAGGTCGTGGGGCGTGTCTCGTTAGAATGAGATTGGGATTCTCTTCTCATGAGCTTAATGATGTATATATAGAGCTACAGTAGGGACCCTTAGGAGATTAGGAAAATGGCTCCTTAATTAATTAGACTAACTGTGGGCCAAGCCCACTCCTCTAATTAATTAAATTATATTAATGGGTCACCAACATTATATTATTGCACTCCCTTTTCCTAGCCCAAATTAAATTTGAGACTCCAATAATAATTACTCGATTTACCTCCCCACGTTTAAGATATAATGTCCATTAATTAATTCGATTACTGACAATCAAGAATTAATTAATTTATTATTATTTCACCGAAGCTAGCGCTCGTTCATCATATTCTTATTATGCCGGAACTTAATCCACCTGCAGGGTTTAGCATAACAATCCTTCATGAACTCACTCCGGGGACATCATCAAACTAACGCACATGGTGACCGTAAATATCCTAACAGCACATCCTATATATAATAATATTACCCAAAACAGTAGGAATATTAATCCAGCGAACTGAACCTCACCCATGTGAATCAAAGTAATATATATTATATATATCTGCCTGTTTAATATCTTACGGGTTAAGAGAACGCAGTAATTAACCGAGGCCTAGTTCATTTACGACGATCAGTATAAAATGAACTTCTCCTCTCTGGGATCCTGTTCAATACATAAATGTACTAGTGCAACTAATCAGTCAAGACAAACTGTACAGTTGACACTACAACCGTTCGGATGGGGTGTTCATGTCCATCTAGGTTGTGAACAACTATTCTTGTTCGCAAGTGACTTATAGAGTGATCTTCGGTTCGCCCGATGACGACCCACCCTATATAAGTGCAGAACAACAGAACGTAGAACTTGTTTAATCCAACATGATTCTCATTCATAAAGGGTAAATGTGTAATAACATGCAAAGCCAAGCTTTCAGTATATTACACTAACAATCTCCCACTTATACTTAAAGCTTTCGCTTTTACGGTATAGTCCTATCAATCTGTTATTGTAAAAGATGTATGTAGATCCTATTGCCATGCTCATGACTCCCATTCCTTCCACGTGTTTGACGAAGACCTTCCCCGGCAAACTCTTCGTGAAAGGATCAGCTAGGTTGTCCTCTGACGCAATCTTGGAAACATCAACGTCTCCTCTACCAACGATATCTCGAATCAGATGGTATTTGCGCTCTATGTGTTTGCTTGCCCTGTGGACTCGAGGTTCTTTTGAGTTCGCTACTGCTCCACTGTTATCACAGTACACGGTGATACCACGTGGCAAACTCGGTATAACCTCTAAGTCCACTAAGAAGTTCCTAAGCCAAACTGCCTCTTTCGCTTCCTCTGAGGCTGCTATGTACTCGACTTCCATGGTGAAGTCTGCCACGCATTTCTGCTTAGCACTCCTCTATGAAATGGCTCCACTTCCCAAGGTAAACACATAACCTGAGGTTGACTTACTTTCATCCCTATCTAACTGGAAATCAGAATCACTGTAACCCAGAGGTAACAAGCTGCCTGCATGGTAAACTAACATATACTCCTTAGTCCTTCTCAGGTACTTGAGTATATGCTTCACCGTAGAGCAATGTTCCCGTCCCGGATTACTTTGATATCTAGCTACCATGCCAATGGCGTAGCTAATATCTTAGTGCACAACATTGCATACATGAGACTTCCTATTGCCGAAGCATAAGGAACTGTCTTCATCTCCTCTATCTCCTTAGACGTCTTAGGAGACATCTCCTTAGATAGAGGTATTCCATGTCTGAAAGGTAACATATCTTTCTTGGAGTCCTACATGTTGAATCTGGCCAAGACAGTATCTATATATGAAGACTGGGATAAGCACAACATTCTCTTCTTACAGTATCTATGTATGAAGACTGGTACACTCTCAGTGTGCCATGTTGCAGTATTATGTGATGAATCTACTTGCGCACTCGGTGGGGAACCATCGGTTTCACCCCTTAACTCCTCTAAGACTAGTCTACTCGCAGGCTTATGATTCATAATATAGTCTTCTTCTAAGAATCTAGCATTCGTCGAAACGATCACCTTCTGATCCTCAGGACTATAAAATAATCCACCTTTCATTCCCTTGGGATAGCCTACGAAAACTTGTGCTTCCGAACGTTTCTCCAACTTGCCAGGTTCCTGCACTAACACGTGTGCAGGACTACCCCAAACTCGAAACTGTGAGAAACTGGGCTTGCGCCCTTTCCACATCTTATAAGGGGTAGTGTCAATTGACTTCGATGGAACCATGTTCAGAATATACGATGTTGTTTCTAATGCCAAACCCCAGAACGAATCTGGTAACCTCGAATAACTCATCATAGACCTAACCATCTTCATAAGAGTCCTATTTCTTCACTCTGCAACCCCGTTTTGCTGGGGCGTGCCGGGTGCAGTCAGTTGGGATTCAATCCCAGCTTCCGATAAGTATGTCCTGAAGTCTCCAAAGAGGTATTCGCCACCTCGATCAGAACGAAGTGACTTGATACATTTACCATGAAGCTTCTCCACAACTGCCCGATACTCCTTGAATTTCTCAAAGCATTCGGACTTGCGGGGCAACAGATAAACGTACCCAAATCTCGAGTAATCATCTATGAAAGACAAATAGTACTCGAAATCTCTTCTAGCCTGGATCAACATAGGACCACACAAATCAGAATGAATCAATCCTAGCACTTCTTGGCTCCTATACCCCTTTGCCGTAAACGGCCTCTTGGCCATCTTACCTTCCAGGCAGGATTCGCAAGTTGGATAGTGCTCTTCCAATGGACCGAGATGTCCACTGGCCACTAACTTTTGAATCCTCCTAAGGTTGATGTGCCCAAGTCTAAGGTGCCACATATATGCTTGATTTATCTGCGAAGACTCCTTCCTCTTTTTAGATGTAGTTATGACATTATTCAATTCATTATGTTGCACTGTGGGAGAGTTTGGTTTGAGAACATACAAATTGCCAACTAATGAACCACAACATATGAAACGATTTCCAAAACGAATAATAACCATATCATCAAACGAAACTGAAAAACCATCCATAACAAGTTTAGAAACTGAAACAAGGTTATTTCTAAAGCTAGGAACATAAAGACATGTTCTCAAAACCAAACTACTACTATCAAACGATAAAATAACGTCTCCCACTGCAACAGCCGCCACTTTCGTAGCATTGCCCATGTAGACGGTGATCTCTCCCTCCCTAAGTCGCTTGGTTTCCTGGAACCCCTTCAAAGAGTTGCAGACATGATCGGTGGCTCCAGTATCTACATACCAGGTTCTGGTAGATACAACTGCTAAACATGTTTCTACGACATTAAAGAGAGAGTTACCTTTCTTGAGGAGAGGGCAGTCGACCTTCCAGTGTCCTGACTTGTTGCACTTGTGGCATCTTCCTTTAGGTTTCTTTGCTTTTTCTAGTACTGATTCAATCGTTGGGGGACAGACTGCCTCGAGCTTACCTTTGCCCGCGTACCCACACCTTGAGGGGCCGGTCGTTGGTAAACCGGAGCATCATGTGCCTTCGCCTTTCTTGCAGACTTCTTTCTCTTCCTGCCCTTGTGAGGCCTGGAAGGTCCAGCCTGCTCGGCGACTAACACCTGAGGTTCCTGAGTGAATAAGGCCTCCGCCGACTGTAGCTCTGCAAGCAGTTCTCGAAGAGCCGTATGCATCTTGTGCATGTTGTAGTTCAACCGGAACTGATCAAAACTCTTCGACAGAGATTGGAGCATAATATCAACCTGGGTTTCCCCGTCAATATAACCTCCCATAACCTCAAGCTCATTGAGCTGCGCCATAACCCTAAGGGCGTGCTCCCTTACGGGTGT